TGATATGTGTTGCCTATTAGTTGTCGATAGGGTCTAATAGGGCTGATGGTTTATAATGGAACATTATTATAGGAATTCAACCTTGATAAGAACATCCTGTTAGTTTTTCCTCAATGACGCAGAAAGGCGTTGGTTTCAATTTCTAGATCGAGTATAGGCTAAGTAAGGAGAAGCTGAATTCTTTCGTCTGTTAAACTGCAATATTCGCCCAACTCGAATGTGCGTCCATATTCCTACCTACGAATATATTCACTCATTCGGATGTAATCTTTTATTAAATGGCTAAAATCGCAGTTTCTTGAGGTGCACTAACGATATCCTTACTAATGAGACTTTAACAAGACCGTCAATAATTGACACAATCTGGCACCAGATTACGGAATTGAGCTGCTTTTCTTCTGCCTGAAGCATAGACTGACGACTAGGCTGAAGAGCCAAAATGATACTGCTTCGTGTGGGATTCCAGTCTCAATTCATGTTTTCGCACTACAATTGACTTTTCATTGTTTCTATGCCTCCTTAGCTATCTTACGCACAGTTTTAAATAAATCTTTTAAAGTCAACCCTAACAGATTTCTCAGTGATAGGTGAAATGTATGTTCATATTGAATAAGTGAGCCCAAACAATTTGCATAGTTATTGCATCCGATCTGGGGGGATATAATGCTTTGGTGAATTTACCCCTCGTTCCTCTCATGTATCTTCTAGTGTGTTTTCAAATTTCGTTTGTATAACCATCGCTAGTTGTGATATGTTGATTATGGCCTCAATTTTTTATTTATACTCATTTGAGCTTTATTCATGAATTAGTCTTGAGCTATATCAACTTTCTTACTACTCATAATTAAATGCCACATTTCCTAAGTGTATTTGTAATTATGTAGTCTTCACATAAAAAATTTTATCTTATCCCGAAACTACCTCTTTATGACCATGTCATGGAGTACAGTCATCATTACTCTTCGGACGCGCCACCATTTGCCAACCATTCTTCTTGGAGCCGCCCTATGCCTAGCCCCGTGCCCCCACCAGCCCCTGCCGCCCTTCCTCAGACTGCTGGCCAAAAGAGGCCCTATGCAACAATGTCTCCTCCTTCCAGAACCTTTCCGGCGCCTATTTATTCGCCCCGACATCATTGCTATCCTAGTTTTCCTAATTCTCCACAGGGATACTTTTGAAAAATTTACCTTGTTTCAACCTGTGTTATGTTATTAATACTAGATGCCCCAAACTATGGCTTGTTTGCCACTTTTGTACACTATTTCCTTATATTTTCTCTACAGTTTACTCTAGTGGTTTTAAAAAGGGTATTAATTGTAAATTTCGACACATGACCTCATGTCAGCGTCGTCAGTGTTTAAACTTAAAGCTTGTTCGTCTTAAGTGCAGGCTAATGGCCGTTGCATCTGGCAAAATATCAATTTTATAGATGTTTTTAAAAACATGATGATTATATGTTTGAATCCGTCTGTGTTTAACTCACATTCTTTTAGTTTCGATTACCACAAATCTACAGCTAAAAATGCGCACGGTCTACGTCGAAATCCTAATAGATTATTAGTCAATACTTTTTGTTTTATTGTATCATATTCGCTTAGGTCAGATTTACGTCATTATATGATATGTGATTAAGGACTAGTGATTGAATTTTCCCACTGCTATGAGTACATTTTAAGTTTTTATTGAATTTTATGTAGCTTTGCTATCTCAAGAAGTATTCTCATCCGGGTTAGACTCAAGTTCGGACCTCGTCCAGGTATCATCAGCATCCCCAGCAGGACCTGACTGGGAATGTGAAGGGAAAATTTCTGGCCTTCCTTTAATTTCGCATCTGCTCTGTGACCCAATAGCGTAGTGCTTAACGTGTCAAGATTATACACTAAATTATCATTGTTAGAGTCCCAGTGGAAGTGCTGAGTAGACCTAGGCGAGGTTGAAACTGCAGTTCACTCTGGATGAGAATACTTTTTACGAAGCAAGGTCTAATGAGATTTAATGGAAATGTACGGTCTGATCATATATTATTGTGGAAAAATTCGATTACCAGTCCTTCGTCACCTTAACCTATTAGGATGAATAAATCTAATGTATATGATCTATTGGCAGTAATAATAAACGAAAACTCTATCATACGGATAGTGGTGAACAAATGTAAGGATGGAGATTATGAAAGGAAAGCAAGAGGAATAGAAGAATAACGATGGATATGTCTACCATCTTGCGAATTGGCTCGGAAGCTGCGACCGATACTACTACTCTTTCACCAGCTTGCCTGAAGTAAACGAAATGGAGTACTGAGGAGTTCACAGCATAAACTGCAGAGACTGTACACAAAAATATGGGAAAGACAATCAACACAAGGATCAAAAACACCAGCAACTATGCAGAAAAATGGATACGGAAATATCGAAGATAACTGAATACATCGCTCTTACCGGCCACAATTGATTGGAATTCATCTAAAAAACCGGCCTCATGTGAAGCGAACAAAGAGGGTATGGACATTTTCTTTCGGACAAACCTGATGAACAGATGATAAAAAGAGGGAAGAGTCAGCGATAATTCGTATACTGCCTGGGCAGACTTGGAGACTCAGCGAAGACAAAAAAGAAAACGCTAGGACCCAGGACAATTGTTCACTAACGATAGAAGACATCACCAAGGAGCGGCTTATGACGGACAAAGGGAAGTCAAGTAAAGGCGATCTAAATGAGAGGAGTCAAAATTGGAATCGGCAAAAAATTTTTTCAGATGAGTCAACTTTTGGGACGTAGGCTATGAAATTAAAAAACTCCCGGTAGAGAATTTGACGGAAATCGAATAAGCTATAGACTTATATGGAGCGAACAATTCTGATTGAGAATCATCAAGATGATCTTTTATCAGTTCTCTAAGAATACTGAGCTCCCTAAGGTCAGGACGGTGCTGCCTATATTTTGGTTTCAGCTTCCTGTTGTGGCTGACCTAGTTTCCGCAATTTGTTCACGCCTTAATCAAGACCCTCATGAATGTTCCTCCGAGGTACTATGTCGTTACTTGGCCTGTTCGGGCTCATTGCATCTATTGAGGTCGCCCTTGCAATACTGCTAATTTGCAAAAAACTATATCAAATAACTTATAGTAAATAAAGACTGCTATCGCATAATCTTGGCCCCCATATATAGTATTGATTACGAAATTAATATTTACAAATGCCGCACTGAAAACAGCCGGCCGTGAAAGAGGAATGCAATTTAAATAACTACAGGGGTGCCTTTCGTTTCGCTTGGACAGGCGAGTACGATAGATTCTTAGGTAAGTCCCACCGGAAGGAGATGGGTTTCCTTTTAGCTGTGACCAGGCTTATGTGATTAAGTCCTCAGCTCATCGTCCCGCGATCCTGATAAAGTCCTGTTGAGCTTTCGTTCGTCATGTAACGGACATTGGCATGAATGGATAGCCTGTCTTACGCTAGTTCACCGGGCACGATGACAAAAGATATGTTGAATGTAATTCTACTCTTCATAGTCTACCTTTATTCTCTTAATGAAGTATCTTATGATTTTATTGGGTTTCTTATGCTCTTCCTGCA